GTTTAGGGTTAGGTTTAGGGTTAGGTTTGGGGGGGTTAGGGTAAGGTTTTCGCTTTTTTTTTTTACATTTTTCGATCACAGCACGATGTTTTCGTCGCGCTGTGATGACGTCAAATGCGCGCTTTCGTCGAGCGCGATTTTGTCCTCCGCGATTTTGTGGTGGAACCGAAAAATTGCTTTAAAAAAGGGTGAACTAAGTTGGCCAGTTAATACACTGATATTAAATGTTCATTTTTATTAACTATTCATTTTACAATTGGAATGAGTTGATATCTCATCAGAATAGTGAACAAAATATCATTGGTTTGTCCAAAAGAATAATTTATTATGTGCTCTTTTCTAAAAACATTTTCTCTCCTTGTATATAGGTGATATACGAAACGATTTGTACCTGACTTTAGAGAAAGGAGACTTTGAGAGAGGTGGAAAAAGTGTTCAAAAGAACATAGAAGTAACTATGTACGTTCTCTATGCAGATGGAGAAATTTTAAAAGTAAATATTTACATACTTTATTCAATGTATTTCTATCATGGTTGAGTTTAAATTCTTTAAAATTCAAAATCTTTTATATATGGAAGGGTTGAAATTCTTAATCAAATATTCACTTTAAATTATTGAGGAATTAAAGCAAAAAATAGAAACATTTATTTTTCAGCTAGAAAAAATGCTTATTGTACTGGTGTTATTCAATATTATTTCACATGATTTAATCTTCTCTATCCAATAATATCTAGCACCAACTGCGTTTTTTAGATGGACCATTTAATTTATTATTATATCACTTTTTCATCTTTTCACCAAAATGTGCATGGAAACGTAACATGATTTTTCTCTATTTTACACTGTGGTCAGATTTCAATGAGGATTTCAACTATTAAACAACTATTTGCATGTTGAACTCGAACTAACTCTCCCAAGAGAATCCACACATTGCAAATGGTATTGCATTACATAGCATATTATAAAAATTGTATCTTCTCTTTTCTTATATCCGAAAGCCGCAATCACTGAAATATTGTAATAATAATTATAAGACCTCACTCTACCGACATTACAGTATAATGTAATGTACATAATTAATTGTCAGTTCCTTTTAAGAAAATTAATCTTGTCTTCACTTTAATGGCCTTCTATCTAGTTCAGTCTTCTATTTTTAAATCTATTTTAAATCTTTATTTAAATCTATTTTAAATCTTCTATTTAGCTGAGTGGCTAAGACATATTGGCTCCTATTATCCCCAAGACACCTCATTCAGTATGTTCTATTCTTCCTGCCATAACATTGAAATTAATACCCTTTTGTGTTAATTAAACAAAGCTAAAAAAACATCTGGACAAGTTTACTTTTATTACTTGTTTAGATAATGTTAAATTCAGGAAATGATTACCAAATTTAATACCACAATTTTGGCTATTTATTTATTTAATTCGTCACCCATCTCGTATCAAAATGACCTTGAATGGCATTAAAACCCTAATTGATAAATATTTCTACAACAATAAATTGGAAATCACAATCAAAAGAATATTATGATTAAAGGACAGGGAATGGAACAGGATGTGTGTGTGGGGTGTATGGAATTACTTCTTAATTCATCAACCACCATCCAATGTGATGCACCCCAATTGGGACCGCAAACCATTTGATACTGTCAGGTCTTCAGGGTCTTGCAGAAGGTCAAAGGGGATCTCACCTCAGAGGATAAGATGTGCCAAACGGTAGGAGCCATGGCAGAGAAGGTTCTCCTGGACTAGTCAGCTGGAATTCCTTGATTGACAGGACCCACACCATTCCCTCTCTGCCAGCCAAGTTAAGCATCTAATATAAGGAAGAGAAAAATGGGAAAAAACTGGAAAGTGGGAAATAGGATAGGAAGGGAAAACCTTTTCAGTTCTTCCTGGTGTATTCTATCTGTAAACTGAAGTCCTTACCATCTATTCTTTATTAATAAATTATTTTAAAATTATTTTCAATCAGCTAGGATAATTCTGAATAATTTATAATGATTATTAAGTAGTGATGCTGTTTTATAATTTTTTGTCAAAGTCCTTCAATAATGCTATATTTGTATATTTCCAAATCTTAGGTATATCTTTCTTCCCTGTAAAATAAAATTCATTATATTTTGCAAAGATTGTAAACGTGCATCCTCAGAACATTTATGATAAGAACCTTATGGTAATCCATCTGGTCCTGGCATTTTTCTTGGTTTAATCTTTTTTTATAGCTTCACTAATCATTTTTCCCTATTTCTTTTACTGTTAATATTGACAACTGTTTCTATACAAAATTAATTTGATGAGAGATAGTTATCTTCCTTTGAGATTTCTTTAATTTTTCTTTACTTTTTATTTCATCTGAAATTCACTAAATTTTCTCTTGGCTCTTTTGTAAAAGTTGAGTATTAGATTATATTATATATCCTCTTTAATCAAATAGGCTTTACTTCCATCTCAAACTATACTTTTGTCAGTGTCTGCATTTAGACTATTTTCAAAAAATTGTGCTAATTTCTTTTTACAAAGTCTACTCATCAGCTCTGTATTTCACCACAATCGTCGACACACTTTTAACGGAGCCCTCTTCAGTTTGCTATTTCTTCTCTAGAAGTCCTTACCATATCCACTCTTGAATTTTTTGTTTTTGTAGAAAAAGGTATACTCATCAAGCCGGTGTTCTACTGTTAAGATTCATCCCACCATATTTCTGTAACTCATATTACACCATACTTCATTCTTTATTATATCAATCTCACATTGCTAGTTTTCCATACCTTGTCCAATAGTATAAAGCATTTAGGGTAATGGGTTAGAATCACTTTTGGTTTCCTTTTATGTCTTTCCTTTTATGTCTGTATTTTTTTGCTTCTTTTTTAAGCTCTTAATATCACTACGCTAGGATTTTTCTGTGGTATATAATACATTGTTAGCCGATCTGCTACTCACTTATTCCTATCCCTTTGCATTCTAGTTTAAAACCTTCCTGACTAGTTTAACTAGTCATCATCGAAATAAAACTTTCCTCATCCAAAGATGTACTTAGATGTAGATAACTATACTTAATGTCACACAGAAAACAAATCAATCATAACACAATATTCTTAGCTGAGCAGTTTAGTTATGTCTGCATAAATTCATAACTTCCTATAGTGTAGGACAGTGATGGCGAACCTTTTTCGCCTCAGGTGCCAAAAGCACGCATGCAAGCATATCATGCACGCATACATGCCCACATCCATGGGCACACGACCCCCTCCCCCACTGCCCTGTGTGTACAGGTTTTTTTGAGCCTGGGAAGGGTGAAACGGTCTCCCTGCCCCCTGGAGGCGCTCTGGAGGCCGGAAACTGCACGTTTCCCGACTTCTGGTGAGCCCAGTTTTCGCTCTCTCCAGGCTCTCAAAGCTTTTCTGGAGCCTGGGGAGGGTGAAAACAGTCTCCCCCACCTCCTGGAGGCCAGAAATGACCCATTTCCCGACTTCCCAGGCCCAGTAGTGAATTGACAGTCCGACATAGGGGTTACATGCACAACACAGACTAGTTGAAATCTACAGAATCCTTGTATTGTTAAAT